GGGGGGTTAATTCACAAAATATGGTGATTTTTCACTACTTGACTGTAATTTTTTTTGGGGGGGGGGCGCAAGTAATTTTTTGGGGGGGCGTACGACCTCCCCAAGATACGGCACTGCTAATATCCAAAGAATTCAATATACGTAACTTTGCTCATACTCTTAACCATAAAGTAAAATTCATGCAGAATCTAAAAACACCGGAAACTCAATTTAGAATTTTTCCTACTAACAGTTGGTTTTTTGCCAGAGCTGGTCACAAATAGCTGTTCAACAACCAAGACACAAATTCACAGCAGACCTCGTCATTCAAACTTAACAACTGACCAATCAGAATGGGTTATTCAGTAGGCAGTGCTACTAATGTTCACATTTCCCATACTCAGCAATGCTTCTTTATGTTTTTTTCTGTCACCTTATCAACAATATCCAAGGGGCAAGGTGGGCTTAGTGGAACAGTGCTTTGCAACCATCTCTGCTCCTGACAGTTTAGATGCATCTGGTGGGCTGTGTGTTTGTGTGGAATGATGTAGTTTTAAAATGAAGGTGTTTACAAGACATACAAAATTTAAATTCATCTATTGGTATACTTATTTTTATATAATATGATCTACCAATTCATGTTGACACCCAGTAGCCTAATCCTACCACTATGTTCTGTATTGCATCCAAGAATAACCAAACAGAGTGAATGATTGTTTGTCTTTCATAACTTCTTTAAAACTTTCTTTCCAAATTGTTCATAGTAGACTGAATACACCCATTGCAAAGATAAATCAATCATCCTATATTGGTAAACAAATTTATGAAATGTTTCTCTGTTTCCCTATATATCACTTTATTTATTTCAAAATCACATAAAATATAAAATATGGTGGCCAAAGGCCAAATTGCATGTTATTTAAAAAAGAGATAATAATAATTTAAACCCCTTATGGCAACCAAATTTAAAAAGGGTCTTCTGATTCAGGGTAGTAGGTTAAAATCTTGGTTTAATCATTGCAAATTTCTTATAATTTTGAGCCAATGAATATTTATACAGCATTTTCATTTTATTAATTATTAAGTTTTTTTAAAATAATTTTTATTCACTCATATTTGGGCAGACAAAACCTTCGGGTATAGGAACTTGTTCCACCTTTGTTCTGACCCCGTCCTATGTTGGAAGAAATAAAGATATTATTATTATTATTATCATTAGTTTAGAACATCAGCATAGCTTATTTTCTGAGAAGATGCTTGCCTCCTTTCTATCCTAGATTAAAATCCTGAATCATTGATATAAACAAATCAACCCTGAAGCCTCATGTTTTAGACCATTTCTTTAGTCTTTTTCTTTAAAAGGAGCTCAATTAGATATTTGAAGTCATTAAAAAATATTTCTCTATTATTGTTAATGTATCTGTAAAATTACTTGAGCATGATGGAGAGCAAATTTACTTGAAAATGATTGTAAATATATTTCCTTTGGAAACTGAAATTTCATTCTTTTCTAATTTGTATTTTTCAGATCGGATAGTGAATCACCCGTAAGAAAAGAAAGAAAGAAATCACATAAGAAAAAGAAGGACAGGTAAAAGATAACACTAGTACTGAACCTGTAGTGGGTTTACTCAAGTCCAGATTACAGGACTCAATTAAGACTCAATTATAGTGTTATGGATTTCTAGTTAGCTAGGATGCTAAGTGATTATAAGTATTCCACCAAGTCAGTAGACTTAACACTACATCATTGACGATGTTGATCATTTGGATTTCAATTTGCTTTGACGTGCTGTACATATAAGTACTTTAAGGTTCAATAACCAAAGTCTTAATTTAGATTAAAACAAAGAAATATCAGATTTGAAATTTAGATTATCAAAATTCTTAAAAATATAGAATATAATTTTATATAGGTAATGATAAAATGATAAATAACTATATATTGTTGCATGTTATCTTTGACCAATAAAATATATGTACCGGTATTCTTCCATCTGTCACCTCCCCCTCTGCTGTAATGACTCAGGCTAATTTTTCAATACATGTCAGCTTCTAGGTACTGTCATGCCCGTGTCATTTTTGTTTTTGATATTTGTATGAATCCTATTGTGATGTTTATTGTTTTCAAATCTTTTGTACAGTTCTATTTTTATATCGTTACAAATGCGACATGAATGTACTTTGTCAAGTTCATTTTTATTTTTAAATGTTACTCTTATTGTTATGTAAATTGTTGTCTTATTCTGTATTGAATTAAACTTGTACAATCTTTGAAAATTAAAATCTCAAAACCAATACTACAAATTGACAAACGGTGGAATATTTATGATTACAATGCACAGATTATTTTTAAGGAACAATATTTTATAGTCTTTTTGTAAAACTAAATCTTGCATGTATATTTTTAGAAATTAGTTTCCAATAAGTTAACTGTACAGTATGTTACCTATAAGTGACACTCCATTTGTTTACAATGTACTAAACAAATTAGCATAATTACTCATGAATAAACATAGTATAATATGAATATTAATGATATCACATCTGCCGCTTGACATTTTGTTGCTTCAATACTAACCAGTTCCCCTAAAGAATCCCTACAACACAAGTAAAATAATTTATCAATTTCTTTTTTTCTTCATCTTTTCCTTTGCCTCCACGTAATCGTTTTTTACCTTTAGCAGGCATTTTAAACACTGAAGGTAAAAGCTGATAGTTTGCATGTATGTCAGTCTAGTAAAAGAAACTGAATCCTACGACACAAAGACGTAAGGGTCAACGTAAAGGAAACATAAGGATATAATAAGCCTACTTTGAGCAGTAATGAGCACACGCCTCAACAACAAATCACTCTATAGGCTTCTCAATGGATTACCAAAAAAACATATTAGTAAAATCATATACAGTAGAAGAAAATTTATAATATTGGTGCTTGATGCTTCAGGGAGATTACGCATTTTGTAGTTCAGTAAATCGGTAAAATCCAGTTTAGTTTTAGTAATTATATTTTGGTAGAAACTATTTCATTATGAATTAATTTTTATAAAATCAAGGTACATATTTGGTTTTCTGATGTTTGATGAATACTACAGAAATGGAAGCCTCGGGTACTCTTTATATTAGCAATGCTATAAACTTAAATTTTGACGAAATAATGCTTAAAAATTATCCATTGCTTCAAGATTTGTATTGATTATTTTTTGGCTCCATTGAAGTCCTTACAGTGATTTGGGATGGTATAAGTGCTCTAAAGTGCAACATCATGTATTCAAATAAACTATCTAGATCAATAATCTGTTTGATTTAATAATTAATAAGTAATTGATTAATAATCAACAATTGATCAGTAGTTTTGTATCAATCAAAATGTATTTTTCTGTTATGTTTTTTAATCATCCTCAGGGCATTTAATAGCAAAGCCATTATATGCCAATCATTTAGTCGTTTGGCTTATTAATTAAATAATTTTTCAATTGATTAGGTAATTAGTTTTAAAGGTATTATGTTGATGAGAATCTCATTACTTTCTCTAATGAAGAATGAAAAATCAATTGAATTGAAATTTTTGCTTGAAGATGGCCTAGGAATTTATTTATTTTTTTTTTCAAATCTATTTTATGGGATGATAAAATATAATTTACCATCAGTTGGTTTTTTAAAAAATTTTTATTATGTGGGAGTAGATAAATGGTCTATGGAATTAGATACCATTGAAATGAAAACTAGTCACATTTATATTTTCATAGTTCTGATGTATTCCTATCATGTAAAAGGATTATATAGCCCATCAGGTTTCAGCCATTTTTAACTCATACTAACAGATTTAAAAAACAGAATTGTGTGATAAAATGCATATCACGAGAACATTTTAATTTTTTTTCACCCTGTATTAATATTCATTTGTAATTCTGACCACGGTCTATTGTTATTCTTTGAACTTCATAACTGTTTCTCATATTTTTTTGGGAATCATTAAAGAGCTACATTGTACACTTTTCTCCCTACTAAGACAACCAATGAAATTCCACATAAGGTGTATATTTGGTTGTATTGTACCACGCATCTTTAATATGGTTGACCTTTAACCTGTTTATGATATTATATGCATGATAATTTTCTAATTGTTCATTCTTGTTAGTTTTTTCTTTTTTATTATGTATAATTGTGTCGTGTAATTTGCTGTGATTTGGTTTTTCTTCTTTTTTTCTCTATCTGTCCCCTATTCCACTCATCTTAACATGCTTATTCTTCTTTCAATTCACTGTGGGATAATGGCTTTAGTGTTTGAGTGTTTATTCTGATCAATGGTAATTGCATTTAATGATAATAATTTTATTTTGTTGATAAATCCTAAAACAATACAATACTAAGAAATAAACAGGTACATTTGTGTGTGTATTTTATTGCCCTCTTATTTACAATGCAATTACCATACTCAAATAACCACTTTTGTTCTTTTTCATAAATTGTTATAGCTTTCTGATCTATAATGAGGTACACATTTAGATTTATACATGTAATATTGTACATAGTTGATATAAAAAAGTATAGAAATTGCTACATTGTATAGTTTTGTTTATTGATGTATCCTCGTTTTCACACCAAAGATGTTAATTAAAAATTTCAAATTCAATTACTTTGTTAACTCTCTGCCTTCTGGAAACATGCCAACAAGGTTTGAATGTAAGCTGGTTTTTTGTCTTTGCGTTTTTTAATCATTTTTTGACCTACAAAAAATAACATGGAGAAGAATCATTTAAAACATCATTGATAAATTTATTGTTTTCATAATCTGTAAACAAGTTTAAGCTATAAGTCATTCTTTTTCATTACCACAGGGAAATAGAAAAATAGTGTCCAAAATATATCATTTATAATCTCCATAAATGCCACATTTGATTCAAATATCTGCATACTTGTTAATTTATTTGGTGGAAATTATGAATTATTATTTGTCAGTATTTTGTGTTACTGTAGGCTAGGGATGGAACAGAAATTTTAGGGTGTCAAATTGTTATTGACTCGATCTGTGTTGATGGATGGGATCACATCCTGTCACAACCATCTGCTACTAGTTGCAGGAAATATCTATTTTTGCATGAACTGCCAAGCATGAAAAACAAAGGATATATTATAGTATTGAAAATACATGTTTAATAAATGCCCATTATACACACATTCTCTGTGCCCACATCTATTTCCATGTGTAACTTTACAAACCTATTTACACGTTGCTTTTATAGAGAAAAAAATTTGCTTTCAGGCACACTGTGTCTGTTACTGCATGCCGTTAACTATTGTGCTCTCCTTTATTTCAATCGTGCTCTCCTTCATTTCATTTAATTTTCTTGATTTCTTTATCATCTGCTTCTGTTCATCCACGAATCTTTAACCTAACAGCAAGCAGATACTCAAGTTCTATATTCTTTCAGGTATTAGCATCACGTCTCGACCTTCCTTAGTACATGTATGACAAATTTTACATGAATCTATTTCTCTTTCGGTTGCTAATATTATGTCTTTGGACTGTTCTTTTCCCTAGGACTGAGAGTTCTACACACAAAAGTAAAAAACATAAGTAAGTGAAAAAGCACAACTATAAATGTGGTTTCACAACATAAAAAATCTGTTAGAATATTGTTTTATTTGTTTATTAATCTGTAAAGCCTGTTTCTGTTAAGTTCCCATTACTCTTTATTCAGATTTCTCACGGTAGACTGATTTTCTACTGTTTATTCTTCATTTTAAAATCACCTATATGGCAATAAATTTATGCCAATTTATTTATTTTTATATTAAAAATATCATGTGAGAACAATTTTCTACCAATTATTCTTTATATCTTTGAAATTTTTCATCTAATTATTAAATATTTTCTGTCATTTTGTAATAAATTTTCACATAGAATAATTTCATACCACTTTTTTATATATTCATATCTCATATTTGAGAATAATTTTCTACCATGTATTTTATATCAAAATATATATGTAAATAGTTTTCTACTGAATAATTTATTCTATATTAATATCTCCTCTTGCAAGCAAAGCTTCTAAAATTTAATACTAAAATCCTTTATATGAGTACAATTTTCTTACCATTATGTATTAATGTGAGTGTAACAATTTTCTACCAATATAATATTTTCAAAATCCCTCTTGCAATAGATTAACTACTATAATTTATTTTTTGTGTTAAAAAACCATAGAACAGTCTTTAGAATTTTAGTATTTCAAATGAGTTATTTCTTAGCATGTATATTTCATTTGTTTTTCAGTGATTTGTATAGTCACTTTATTTTATGACATTTTCTGGACATAGATACACTATCAAAATATTATAGTGTTTGCTTTAAAGGTTCTATATTATAAGCTAATCTACTTTGCCATGTTCACCATATTTAGTTTTATGAGAGAAATATCTGTGATTTTGCCATAATATGGGTGTTACTATGATGTCATCATGGCCATGTATGTGTAAATCACATAAAACTTGATATTGTAGAAGGAACGTAAAGGTCATTTTATATTTAGAATTTGTGTAATGGAGATTGAACCATTATGATAAAGTATCATATTCTGTGTAGAAATTAGTACAATTAACAATGTCTTGCTCATTGTATAACTTCATCGACTGACATTAATTTACCAGAAAAGAAATAACTGCAAATTATTCATTATCTAAGAAAAGAAGATGTCATTCGTGAATTACCTTGTTCCCCTCAATCACCTTGTTCCCCTCAATCACAACTCATAGTCAATAATTATGTCCCTTGTTACCCCTCCTCAGATCAAATATTTTCCTTCAGATCTGATGTTTAATCATACTAAGTATGGATGTTTTTCTTTAATTTTAATAACTTTCACTTTATGACCATACCAGCGCTACTTTACCTTTAGCTAAATATTCCAAACATGAAGAATAATAATGTCCCTTGTTACCCCTCTCTCCATATCAAATATTTTCCTTCAGATCTGATGTTTAATCATACTGAAGTATGAATGGTTTTTTTTTAATTTGAATAACTTTCACTTCATGTCCATAACTAACAGATTTAGGCAAGTGTTTTGAACATGAAAAAGTACAGGGAAATGTTTCACTGTACTTTCGTCAAATATCTGCTTTAATGTAAACGCACTATAGACTTTCATGGCCATTTACTAATGAAACTAAACACTATAAAAGAAACAATCATTTGCACTGTTCTACTCATATCTCTCTTTCTATAATTAGCAGGCTAATGTGCTTGTATGTGGGTGTGACAAAAAGTCTGGGATCATATCATTTTTCTCTTTTTTCTTATTTATATTATAATTATTTATTATTTATTACAGTTAATTATTGACATGTAATATAATTATTGTTGTTTTATTACTATTTTCATTGATGTTAAGCTTAGTAGTACTGTATTAGAAGTCTCCTTCCCGAGTAACCCCTTGCATTCTACTGTAGGTCATGTTATTGATTTGCTTTTGACCTTATTTTCCAGATCTCACAGAAGTAGAAAGCATAAGAGCCATAGGAGGTAATTTCTTGATTGATACATTTTGGATCGTTAATCAGTAATTAGATATGTCTGTAATGCACTGGGTGGACTCCTAGTAAACAATATTATACCAACTCACAATGCATTTTGTAAATTGCTCTAGAAATGCCAATCATACAAAAGCATCAATCTTATGCTGTCATTGATGTCTTGGGCTTCTTTTCGAGGCTACTTTTACAAACCACGTGCAAATTACAGAGTGGCCTTCAATTCGAGATAGGCTTCTTCTCGAGATTAAACCCATTGGGCTTCTATTCGTGATTTTAATGCAGGGGTGGGCATAAAATTCGGTCAGAGGGCCAAAGTGAATTTTTAACTTAACACATAGGGCCGCACCCAAACTTTGATGTTTCCAGTGTGCTTCCAAAAACCTTCATGTACTGCTTTTACACCACTTTATTCTCAGTTTAAATACTACTTTTTAGAGATGGTTGGTGCCAGGCCATAAAAAACAAGGTGTTTTCTAGCCAAAGATGTTTGGCGGGTCGCACATATAGGGTTTTCAATTCTTTTTCGCGGGCAGCAAAAAAAAATCACTGTCGGGCTGCACGTGGCCTGGCCGCATTTTGCCCACCTGTGTTTCCCAGTATGTGTGCAATTAGATTTAAATGATTTCAAGATGGATGCATCTAATTTAATTGTTTTTTGTCCAAATTTAAATTAGCTCACACTGTTTTATAATTACATATATGATTTTGATTAATCAATACCAATTAATATTTGTTATATTTATTTATTTTATTCAGAAAGCATTACAAAGATGAAGATTTAGAATCAGACTCTGCTGCTGATTCGGCTGACGATGCAGACCATGCTTCCGATCATCAGAAATCCCAGTCATCCAAGAAATCACATAGAAAAGATTATGACAGCGACTATGATAAATCAAGCGAGAGAAGAAAGAAGCACAAGTCCCGAATGCCAGCATCTGATTACTCTTCTGAGTCTAGCAGGTCACGTAGCCGTAGTCCCACACCCCGTAAAAAACACAGGTTTGTATATATAAAATATTGTCTCTTTGTTATGAGAATCAGGAGGAAAATAAAACTGTGAACTGATCATACTGTGAAAGACCAAATATGTGTTGCTTATTTTGAGAGTTGGACTTGCTTCATCAGAAATTTATGATATTTGTAGTTTGAACCAGAGGTCCTTAACATTTGTTGATCATATGAGGCATGTTGTGGCGAAATGGTTAAGTTGTTGGTTAATGAGCTATAAAATATGGGAGCTCAAAAAATTGCTTAAAAATCCAAATTTGTTTTTCACTATAAATCAACAGTTTATTGTCTTATTAATCATGTACCAAGGTATTAGTTCTGGAAGTGGTCAACAGATTGTTTATTTAATGTTATTTTGATAGTTCATTCTATTAAACAATGTATGCACAAATAACTTTGAAAGGCAATTACTCAAAATCATGTTTATCTTGACTCTAAGAGTACTGTACTTTCACTTTCCAATAACATACACGAAATGTCCAATTTCAATGAATGACCCCTCATTTTAAAGATCACATACTCAGGTATCTGAAAATACTAATAACTTGAATTTCAATTTTTGCTACAACTTAGCCATTTTGCCACAACATGCCTCATATGGTTATAGTAGCAAAGCTTCCAAGTGTTCTCTGGATCTCCAAGGATTTTGGTTCATATCCTGGTCTCACGGAAATTGCATATTTTCTCCCAGAATTTGAATTTCTCCAGGATTTTAAGAGATTTTCTCAATTAGGACTTATGCTAAGCTAAATTTTCCCATTCTTGTGCATTAAATAAGACCAAAAAACAAAAATTATTGTGTTGCCCTTAAATGGAAAAAATCGAGATCTAGGGTCGGTCGGTCGGTTGGATTTTTTTTTGTACATACATCGTCGTCGTTGCACTCGGTTCTCAAAATTATGTCTTCCATTTTACCGATTTTACGTGTGCATCTATGGCCCGATTTTGGTAAAAATACATGTCTGTTTTAGATTTTATGTTCTAAATGTCAATTTCACAAGTGGTATTTCTCATATTTGTACTTGAGTGAAAGGAAGAAATTTATTAAACAAAAAAAAAGCCGACCCGATTTTTTGAAAAATTTAGGTCGGTCGCGGAGGGCAACAAAACATTTTTTTTTGCCTAAGGCAGACATAAGATTTATTGAACATTCTAAGCAGTAAGAGGTATTAACAGTGGCCTAAACCTGCCCAAGCCTCTTTGTTTTTATATTAAACATGACTTTTACAACTTGGGCCCCCTGATATTAGCCAAATACTGCAATCAGACTTCGATAATGAAAGCTCAGTAATAATGAAGCTCTATAAAAAGCTAATTAACATACACTGTATATAATGATTATTTATTTTCTTGCCTTGACCATTGAAATACACATACAGTACATAATTCTAACTACAAGATGGCTTCCTATTTTCACTACTGTATAGTCATTTGTTTATCATTGAACCAGTGATGATAAATTCATATCACCTTTCTCATTTCAGGTCACGTGGACATTCAGAAAGCCCCAGCAGGCGATCCAAGTCACGGAGCTTCTCTCATTCTAGAAGCAATAGGTAATGAAATTTTTAAAATCAACTATCTCAGAACATTTCCAACATTAAACATACTTATAATAGTTAATTAATTAATTAATTATTGACAATGTTATTAAAATCAACTATCTCAGAACATTTCCAACATAAAACATACTTATAATAATTTATTAATAAATTAATTATTGACAATATTATTAAAATCAACTATCTCAGAACATTTCCAACATAAAACATACTTATAATAATTAATTAATTAATTATTGACAATATTATTAAAATCATTGTTGAAATCAATGTTAATGTTAATTAAAATCAATGCTATTAAAATCAACTATCTCAGAACATTTCCAACATAAAACATACTTATAATAATTAATTAATAAATTAATTATTGACAATGTTATTAAAATCATTGTTAAAATCAATGTTAATGTTAATTAAAATTAATGTTATTAAAATCAACTATCTCAGAACATTACCATCATAAAACATACTTATAAGGCCAAATAAAATAAATTGTTTGTTTGCCCTTATAAAATAAAAATAGCCCACAGAGGCCTATAATGGCAATATCTTACATCAGACAACAACTTCAGACTAATTTGTAGGGCATCTGGCGAAAAATAAAGATAAATTCACTCTTTTTTCTTAATTTGTAAAGAAAAAAGCTAAAAAAAACCCCTTTTTTTAAAAGTTTTTTTGTTTTTCCGCCCCTATTTTTTTCAGTGAGTTAGGGGCGAGTGGAGGAGGGCAAACAAACAATTTTTTTTGGCCTAAAAATTAATAAAAATATAAACTCCAGTTGGTTTTATATTTACTTGATTTAAGATAGAAAGTATTTCCAAAAACATTGAATTAATTATTTATAAGAATCAAATACAGGTGTGTTTCAAAGAATATATTTTTTGTTTTAATTTTTATTTGACAGCTAATTAACTTTTAAGCCTGTCTCTTATACACATCTCTTCCGATCATCAGAAATCCCAGTCATCCAAGAAATCACATAGAAAAGATTATGACAGCGACTATGATAAATCAAGCGAGAGAAGAAAGAAGCACAAGTCCCGAATGCCAGCATCTGATTACTCTTCTGAGTCTAGCAGGTCACGTAGCCGTAGTCCCACACCCCGTAAAAAACACAGGTTTGTATATATAAAATATTGTCTCTTTGTTATGAGAATCAGGAGGAAAATAAAACTGTGAACTGATCATACTGTGAAAGACCAAATATGTGTTGCTTATTTTGAGAGTTGGACTTGCTTCATCAGAAATTTATGATATTTGTAGTTTGAACCAGAGGTCCTTAACATTTGTTGATCATATGAGGCATGTTGTGGCGAAATGGTTAAGTTGTTGGTTAATGAGCTATAAAATATGGGAGCTCAAAAAATTGCTTAAAAATCCAAATTTGTTTTTCACTATAAATCAACAGTTTATTGTCTTATTAATCATGTACCAAGGTATTAGTTCTGGAAGTGGTCAACAGATTGTTTATTTAATGTTATTTTGATAGTTCATTCTATTAAACAATGTATGCACAAATAACTTTGAAAGGCAATTACTCAAAATCATGTTTATCTTGACTCTAAGAGTACTGTAC